GGAATATTCATAGTAGGATCCGTTCGTTATAGCATGCCCCACTGTATATATATATTATACTGTACTGGAATTTACTATTTTATTATAATGTCTATGTTAAATAAGTTTACCAAACATGAATTTCAGTAGGAAATATTAGCGGCAGGCCACGAGAGTTAGTGATGCAGTGTTAGGCAGGCTGTTCCACTTGTTTACCACTATGTGGTACAGCTTCACATTTTATACTCTGAGTATAAGTCGAACCCTGGTTTTGGAGAGATATTTTCAAGCTTAAAATGTCGACTTATACACAGCAATTTACGGTATCTAGTTTATTACATAAACTGTGATTACCTCATTCATCATTGTCAGATTCACTACTGTCATCATCGGTGTTTATCACCAAATTGTCTGTTAGATGTTCAAGAGCAATGTCTTTCCTTCTATACTCATCTTCTACCAGTCTTGTATGACATATACATTTCTTCCAGTCTTGTGAAGTTACTCTGTCTATTGCACTCTTAGTTATTTCTTCAACCCCTTTTAACGTCTGGTTGGTATTTGAATCGTACTTTTTCACTTCAGTCTTTACTTTAGCCCAAATTAATTCTATGGGGTTAAGCTGACAATGATAAAGGGGAAGTCTAAGTACTTCATGACCAGCATCACAGGCTATTTGGTCAACTTCATATACCTGCTTATTTTTGTGTGATTTGACAAGACTAAGAAGTTCAAATTTTGTATGGGATGGGTCATGAGCAATATTGTGTTCTGTTAGCCACTGGATAATTTCACATTTCTTGGAATTACTGGCTGGTGCTTTATTTAAAATTTGAGAATGATATGATGCATTATCCATCACTATGAGAGAATGAGCTGGAATGTTTGGGAGTAACTGTGTCTGGAACCAAGACTGGAAGCATGTGTGATTAATGCTGTCATGGTAATCCCCCTTATTACCATTGCTTGATCTAAAAAATAAAAAAGCCCCAGGTACAAATCCATCTTCCCCACCAGCATGCAGAATAATATATCTAGCTCCTTTCCCGGTTTTCAGTTTTGGGTCTACAGATCCATCAGCCATTGTCCAACACTCGTTTTGGTTTACCCAAGTTTCGTCTAAATATATTTCTGGCCTTGGGCTGCTGGATTTTCTGTTTTCAGCAATGAGTCTCAGGTATTTGTTTCTTGCAACAACAAGATCATTTCTTTCCATTAAAATGCATCTGCCACTTTGTACTTTCTTAAAACGAAACCCAAGTTGTTTCACAATCTTGTGGAGTGAAGAATAGGCGCCAGAGAATCTAACAGGTGGTTTCTTCACCCTTTTCAGCAGAGCGTTCACGGTTGGAATTTCACCCCTCTCATAGAAAGCGAGTACCTCTCGTCGTATACAGTCCTTATCAAAATCATCCACCGTTCCCATCACTGGCGATATCCTGGTCCTAGAAGGTGGAGATTTTATTACACCAACTCTGTGTTGCTGTTTTATTCTGTGAAGAGATCGAACGGAGATCCCCGTAACAGAGGCAGTCCTTAGCTCGATGTCAGTTTCACTTTGTTGTACATCTTGATATCGGAGATACTTGTAGATATTCAATACGATTTTCCTTACTTGGCTCGTTATTCGTCGAGTGCATCTTGCATCGTTGATTGACTGAGCCATGGTGGATGTTTGATGGCAAGCCCTGCCAAATAAAAAATTCATATATAACCTACGCACTTTCAGAGGCGGGTTTTATGTATGCATTAATAACTCGGGTATTTGTTTCTCGCAACATCATTCCAAATATTGCTATCCAATAACTCTATCCAAAGATAAACCTCTATGTCATTAGTGTGAGATCACTGACGGAGGAAAGATTACCTTTATATTGTCTGATCTCAATGTATAGTTATTAAATTGGATAAATATTATATACAGGGAAGCCTAGGATAATAACGGTTCGACCAACAACTTTTCGTATTTGAAACCCTAGATAATTTAGGACCCAATTCAGTTTACATCCTTATTTCATCCGTATTTACGACCACAATATAATAGAAATAAAATAAAATTACATTTTCATATTAACAATAACTAAATCCCGATATCTATTATAAAAAAAATAAAAATTTACTGTAAAAAAAAAATGAAGAGCACCATACACAAAGAAGCTGCCTTGCTAATGAGTGGTAAACAACAGTCAGAGCTTGGCGGGCCTTTTGTTTTCACGCATCTGGAACAGGAACTGGAGAAAAACTTTCTTGGGTTTCTTACAGCATTTTTGCATCCCTATTCAACATGAGCAAGAGAGCAAGTGATGGTAGTGTTGTTTCAAAAGCTAATAGAAAGTGTCTAAGCTTAGCCGAGAAACTAGATGTGTTAAAACGATATGAAAAAGGCGAGAGGTCTGTGGATATTATATGGAGCAAGCAATGAACATATTTTCTGAAGGGGATCCATTAACAGAACAAAGCATTAAAATTTAAATAAACACAAATGACCTCTACATAAAGATATAAATAATGAGAAAAGTAAGCAGCTGTGCAAGGTTCTTTTGACAGCTTTATTATTCGATGGCCTAAACCAGGGGTGGGCAACCTTTTTGAGTGTGTGTGCCAAAATCGACCAAATCTTTGATACAAAATTTTCTCTCGTGCCAACCAAAATTTCCGGGTCACATATTATTTGGTATCTTTTACGTAATGGGAGAACCTTTTCAAATAATCAGAAATCACACCGGGGTGGTAAAATCAGAGAGTTTTGTAAGAGTGATTTTATAAATCATGGGATATTGAATGAATGTAAAAATTAGTGACAGAATTTTTACTTAGTGGTTGTTCTTCCCTGTTGTTAGCGTGGATGTTTTATATTAGCATTTCAGTGTAAATCTAGTTGTCATATACATCCACACAATTTAAAGACGTTATTTTTAGCATCAGCAAAAGAGTAAACAATATTTTTGATTTGTTTATCAGATCATTCAGCCATTAGTTTTTGTAAACTTTTTTCAGTACATTACAATACCAAGCTCAATATCGATTTACTCGACTAAAACACAATAAAAGGATATAAAACTAAAGATATTCTTTTATTGATTCTTAATCCTTTATGAATGATGCATAAAAACCACAGAGAAAATATAAAAGTTATTTTACCTACAAAAATACACACTGTATTATATTAACCCTTTGGATGCGACATGCGGGTAAACCCGCCCAAAATATTATATTAATTAAATGCGACAAGCGGGGATATCCCACGGCCTTGAAAAAACTTCCCCAAATGAGACGACATGCGGAAATATTATGTATTGAGGTATAGGAGTATTTCCTGAATGCAATATAGCTTATTTTTGTAATATTTTGTTTGATATTATCTGAATATGTAATACATATCTAAATTTGCTGTTTAGTAACCAAATTGATTAAATTTATTTGCCATATACCAGACATTGATTTATACCAATTTCCTGCATTTTTGGGTATAAATGTCATTTTTTCTCTAAAATTTGCACACATATGTGAATTTTTGTTCCAGATTTGGAAAATATACTAAAAGTTCTCTAGGAAAAACATATAGAAAATGTGATTATATGAAATTCATTTTTGGCAGGATAATTGACACTTTTCAGGAACCGGCGCGAAATTTAATTACGCACCTAAAGGGTTAAACAAAAGCGAATCCTTAATATTTTTAACAGAATACATCAAATGAAAATTAGGGAACGAATAATTGTGAACCTTTTCTTTATTTAGAATCAATGAGACTTCTGCTGCTGCATCCCTGATGATAGATAATTTATATCCGGTTTATATTTTGTAACCTTGAGAGATATACATGCGCTACTAGTTTCATCAGTAAGGCTACTTCTATTATGAGACTTAACAGAGTTCATCACTGAGAACAATGATTCACAAGAATATGTAGATGAAAAAATGGTTAGTAATGTTGTTGCAAGTTTTTTTAAACAGACAAAAGTTTCTGGAATAGTATTCCAAGTCATCAGTACCTCGTTTTCGGCATTTCTCTCTCTTACTCCCTTCTCTAATCGATCCTTTTCAATACTTTCCAAGTCAGCTCTAAGCTCAACAAATTTCTGCCTCCAAATTGAGCTAGTTTGAAATTCAATCAATTGCATTTCAAAATCATCCATATCTATCCATGAAAACTTCTGCAAGTTTAGTTCATCCAGTTTTATACTGTCTGGAAACTTAATGAATTTTGCAGTCTCTTCTAATTCTCTGAACCTAGCAAATCTTGTTGAGAACTGCTCAACAGTTGACTCAATGATGTTTACAAATAGCTTCTGAAGACACTGGCAGTCTGTTTTGTCATCCTTTGTGAGATCATTGATGTATTTCTTCAGGTTTGGAAAGTATCTAAATCTTTCACTATCTACATCCCTCTTAAAAACTCCTAGTTTCATTTCAAATGCCTTTATGTAATCAAACATAACATCAAGTGTCTTACCAGAGCCTTGTAATTTAACATTTAAGTCATTTAAATGTTCACATAAATCTGCAAAAAACATTAGTTTACAAATCCACACGATGTCAGACATTTCTTTATAAGACATTTGTTGGTTAATCAGAAAGAGATTTATCTCATCCATGCATTCAACAAATCGTTTCAAAACAAATCCTCGACTAAGCCAACGAACATTGTTGTACATTGTTAGTCCTTTGTACACCGAATCCACCTCATTCAATAAATTCCGAAATTGTCTTTTATTTAAGGCACGTGCAGAAATGTAATTAATAACCTTGGTGACTGTTTGCATCACTTCTTGAAGTTCCTTTAGACCAGCTTTAGCACATAAAGCCTCCTCATGTATGATGCAATGAAAACCTATCAGCGGATGACCAACATGTTTTGCAAACAGATTTACAAATCCTGCTTCCTTACCAATCATACTGGGTGCACCATCTGTTGTGACGGATACTACTTTTGAAATGTCAATTTGTCGAATAGATAATTCGTTCACAACTGCTTTACATATGTCAGCCCCAGTGGTACGCTCAGGTAGTGTTACAAGGTTAATCATCTCTTCGCATACCTCATCATCCCTACAAAATCGAGAAAAAATTGCTAGCCTAGCTGATGATGTAATATCTGTGCTTTCATCAACACAAATAGAAAAGAACTTATATGAAGCTAAATCCTTTGTTAATTGGTCAGTTGTATTCATTTCCATCTTAAGTATCCTATCCTTAACTGTTTTTCTACTCACAGACAAATCTTTAATGCGCTGAATAATCTTGTCCTTTTCTGAAAGGTTATCAAAAAGGAAAGGAGCACATTCTAGCCATGCTTCTTTAATATACTCCCCATCACTGAGTGGCTTTCCATGTTGGGCAATAACTTTTGAAACCTCAAAACCAGCAGCAACTAAGTTGGAACTTGGCCTACCTGAAATAAATTTCATCAAAACATCAGACTGTTTTTTTGTCTTAATCATTTCACGAGAAATTAATTCTCTTCGTTCTTGCTCAGTTACATTACTTAAGTTTTTATGAACAGTTTCAAAATGTCTCTTCACAGAAGAAGTCCTACAAACAACTGATTCAGAACATAAAATGCATAATGCTTTATTATCTTTCTTAATCATGCCAAATTTTTCAGTCCAGTATTCTTTAAATTCTCTAATATCCTCTTCATTTGTATGACATCGTTTCTTGGCTGGTGGTCGTGACATTCTGTACAATCTGTAAATAAGGGGTAGAAAGCAATCATATGATGTGTAAAAAAATAATTGCTCTCTTCGCACACTTTCCAACTTTAAGTTATACTTACTTTTAACACCAACAGCTATTTCATGATTTTTGTGTGGTTATATAGTAGAATGCGTTAATACAAAACTATTTTCTTTTGTAACACTTTTGGTAGAAATGCATAATAACAGAGACATTAATTTATAAATTATTAAAAAATATAAATACAGTTGTACCCCACTTAACGCGGTCAATTGAACCCAGAGGGTCCCGCGTTAAGTGAAATCCGCGTTAAGTGAACAACAGAACATATGGGATTAATTCCAATAGAAACCGGCCCGACCCCCAAACTCCACTTTTTGAAGGCACATACCTATGTTGTAGTAAAAATAACATCTTAATTTTATGATGGTACATGCACACAATTAATACTTAAGAGAAATAGAGAAATACAGTCGCCAAGTTAATGTCCATTCAAATAATGGACTCAACTCCCTCCCCCTCTCACACTACACAGCCGGCTAACAGATGGTCGGTCGGTCCCTCCCTCCCCCCCCCACCCCCCACCAACCGTCCCAAGGAGATGTGTGGGATAACCTCAAACTAAAGTTAGGAAAATATAATTGACATTGCTGGATTCCTTGTAAGACCAGGAATATTTTGAATATAAATGTCATATATTTTGGACAAAAGATACCATAGTTACCTAGAGAAAAATTTTTATCTAAAAATTGTAAGTTTAAAGCAAAATATATGATGTTTATATTCAAAATGATCACCAAATTATAAGAATTCCAGCAATGTAAATTATATTCTGACCGGGTAATTTGTATGAATTTTATGAGCTAAAACAAATATCTTCAGTTAATAAAAAAAAAATCTTCACGACACTATCTGTCAATCAAAGTACCCCACCTTGCCTCCCCCCCTCTTCCAACCGCGCGGTCAGTCCCAACCCTCCCCCCCACCCCCCACCAATCCTCCCTTCCAGAGTTTTTAACATTTAGTATTAAATAATACCTCAGATTAAAGTTAGGATAATATAATTGACATTGCTGGATTCCTTGTAAGACCAGGAATATTTTGAATATAAATGTCATATATTTTGCACAAAAGATACCATAGTTACCTAGAGAAAAAATTTTATCTAAAAATTGTAAGTTTAAAGCAAAATATATGATGTTTATATTCAAAATGATCACCAAATTATAAGAATTCCAGCAATGTAAATTATATTCTGACCGGGTAATTTGTATGAATTTTATGAGCTAAAACAAATATCTTCAGTTAATAAAAAAAAAATAATCTTCACGACACTATCTGTCAATCAAAGTACCCCACCTTGCCTCCCCCCCTCTTCCAACCGCGCGGTCAGTCCCAACCCTCCCCCCCACCCCCCACCAATCCTCCCTTCCAGAGTTTTTAACATTTAGTATTAAATAATACCTCAGATTAAAGTTAGGATAATATAATTGACATTGCTGGATTCCTTGTAAGACCAGGAATATTTTGAATATAAATGTCATATATTTTGGACAAAAGATACCATAGTTACCTAGAGAAAAAATTTTATCTAAAAATTGTAAGTTTAAAGCAAAATATATGATGTTTATATTCAAAATGATCACCAAATTATAAGAATTCCAGCAATGTAAATTATATTCTGACCGGGTAATTTGTATGAATTTTATGAGCTAAAACAAATATCTTCAGTTAATAAAAAAAAATAATAATTCTTCACAGGGTAACAGATGGTCGGTCGGTCCCTCCCTCCCCCCCACCCCCCACCAACCGTCCCAAGGAGATGTGTGGGATAACCACTAAATTTTAATAAATAATACCTCAAACTAAAGTTAGGATAATATAATTGACATTGCTGGATTCCTTGTAAGACCAGGAATATTTTGAATATAAATGTCATATAATTTGGACAAAAGATACCATAGTTACCTAGAGAAAAATTTTTATCTAAAAATTGTAAGTTTAAAGCAAAATATATGATGTTTATATTCAAAATGATCACCAAATTATAAGAATTCCAGCAATGTAAATTATATTCTGGCCTGGTAATTTGTATGAATTTTATGAGCTAAAACAGGCAGTCAGGCAGGGTGGCGGGTGGGGCAAATCTAAAAATAGCGTCTCGGACACTCACCGCGTATATGTGGAAAAAATCCGCGTTAAGTGAAAGTTCAGCTTTGGCAAGGCACCGCGTATATGCGAAAACGCGTTAAGTGAAACCGCGTTAGGCGGGGTAAAACTGTATTGACAATATATAATGCAGTGCAGTGTTGATTTAAAGAAAATAATCTTGAATTACACCGAGAGCTAAAATTTTATGGGTGAAATGGCGCCATGGGGTGACTTCTCTTCCACCCCAATGCCTTCTCTTCTTCCTTCTTCTCCACCCCCATTCTAAATCCCATCATCATCATCATCATCATCCAGGAGCCTTCTACAAACACACCTCAAAGTAAGTGAACTTTTCTACCATTTTTGTTGAATTTAGGAAATTTTCGGTGAGCTGGAACCAATTACCCAAAAACACATTGAAACAATGGTTTCGGTTAACGAACTTTTCGGTTAACGAACGACCTTCTGGAACGAATTGAGTTCGTTAACCGAGGGGTCACTGTATATATATATTCTGTATTCACATAGTATTATAGTAGAATGCTTAATACAAGATTATTTTCTTCTATAACACCTTTGGCCAAAATGCACAATACCTGAGTTATTATTTTATGAAGCATTATTATAAAAAAAATAATATCTCGGTTATTATACATTTTGGCCAAAAGTGTTACAAAAGAAAATAGTCTTGTATTAATGTATTCTACTATATAACCACACGAAAAACATGAAATAGCTGTTGGTGTTAAAAGTAAATATAACCAAAACCGGTTCATGGGGTGTAAAAATGTGGACAGAGACTTGTGGACTCAGACATTCTCTTCACAATCACTCTCTGCATACATATACCAAGGTTTATGAAAATCAGTTGGTGGATAATAAAAAAAATAAAAAATAAAATAAATTGGTACAATTATAGGCATGCCTACACAATGCAAACCAACGAGAAAGGCATGCATGCTATCTGATCACGTGCAGATAACACTTCATAATCCTGAATATTAATAATACATTTCCCTTAGCTTTAATAATAACTTATGTTTATGGCACATACAGTATGCTGAAGAACAGGCTTCATTAACCTCTTTTGGACCTTCTGACCAGTGTGCCAGATATGTCACGCTCCATAAATATACTCACTACCAACAAGTTCATAAAATTTTCAGCAAAGGTTTGCTTTACTCACTTAAGCGGGGTGAGATCCATTATTCAGCTTAAAAAAGGTCACATTTTAGGGGCAAAATTTAAATCGCCTTGCTAAGGTAAGTTGCGCCAAATTTTCCTTGTACACAGGAGTATACAGATTCAGCAGTGTCTTAGGAACATCGATAAATTTATGGGTAAGCATGACAAACACTATGACAGCTGATAATTTGGACAGTAAATAATAACTTACTTGCACGTGGTCAGCGATTCTCCCTCTTGCTATGTTTACTTTGCTGGTTCACACTTCACACATTCACCACCAGAGGAACAATGATTAGAGAGAACGGATATGCATGTGACATTTATGGGACACTGAGCACAAAAGCCATGTTCCCTTCCATGAAAGTTAAGACACCTTTTAAGTTAATGTGCCATATAATGACCCAGTGATCTAAAAGAGGTTGACTTTTGATATAATGTTTTTAATGCAATCTCTGATAGCCAGATAATTATTACAGATCTTGGTGTAATATTTGTTTTTCTTTTAATTAAATTTAAACATTCATATAGCTGAACTTGGATTTTGCTAACCGATAAATTCTTTGCGAAACTGCAAAACTCGAAAAAATATATAAAATATTAATGATGGTAAAGGAGTCACACCACGTCTGGCCGCATGGCTAATTATTTAACAACAGAACGGGAAACAATCCTTCCACCGGCTGCCGCCAAGGCGGCATGCGGTTGCCATATAAAGGTTTTTTTTTATTGAGGTGAGCCCGGGTCTCGCGTGCCGGAAAGAAGCCGTTAGCGTGCCATGTTTGGCACGCGTGCCAAGGGTTGCCCACCCCTGGCCTAAACCATCAACTTAACTACTGTACATCAAATTCAGCATCATAAACAGTTTCAACATCAACTTCAGGTTCAGTAACAGTTTCAGCAACAGCTTTATGGAAAGCTACAGCTTCAGCCAGAGTTGAACCTGATGACTTTGTCATATGAGTAAAAACTCACACAATATTCATCGGCTGTCCTTATGTTTTAGACTTTACCGCCATTGGTGAATAGAATTTTAGTTTTACATTCGTAAATATTATTTAAAACGTATATGAACAGAACTGTTGCTTTCATATTCATATGTTGAGAAATGACGATATATTTTCACATGTACGCACTTACCGTTCATATGTTGACGTTCCCAATCATCTCGCCTTAATTCTTTACCATTAGTGGTTAGCTACTTCTAGTGTTCCATTTATTAACATTAAATAACATTAATTAAAACATACATACAGGTATTCCATTTTTTTTACATTAAGTTCACTACAGCTACAACCAGGGTCTTATTTCTTCAGTTTCTTATGTAAAACCATCGTCACTCACAAAATACAATACCATCTTGTCTCCTCGTGTGCTTTAATATTCTACGTATTATTAATGAATTGCATTGTTCATTTCACATATATAAACATTAAATCAATCAAGTACATATTCAGCAATAAACAATATTAAATCTTTTGTACATATTCTTAAAATAAATGAAGCGGTATCCTTAAACGCGCACGTATATGTTGGCGTTCCCAATCCATCTCTTTTAATTTTCTTTGCCATGAGTGGTTAGCTACTTCTATTGTTCCATTTATTAACATTAAATAACGTTACTTAAAACATATTCAGTCAACCCTCACTTTATGCG